TTAGTGACAGAAGGCTGTGATTGGTTGGTTAGTGACAGAAGGCTCTGATTGGTTGTTTAGTGACAGAAGGCTCTGATTGGTTGTTTAGTGACAGAAGGCTCTGATTGGTTGTTTAGTGACAGAAGGCTGTGATTGGTTGGTTAGTGACAGAAGGCTCTGATTGGTTGGTTAGTGACAGAAGACTCTGATTGGTTGTTTAGAGACAGAAGGCTGTGATTGGTTGGTTAGTGACAGAAGACTCTGATTGGTTGTTTAGTGACAGAAGGCTGTGATTGGTTGTTTAGTGACAGAAGGCTGTGATTGGTTTGTTAGTGACAGAAGGCTGTGATTGGTTGGTCTGTGACAGAAGGCTGTGATTGGTTGTTTAGTGACAGAAGGCTGTGATTGGTTGTTTCAGGTGGACATGCAGCAGCTGCTAAAGGTTTTTATTCCTCCAGACTCATCAGGAAATAACCTGGACCGCTGCAGGAGGTAACAGATATGTATTTTCTGTTTTCAGTGGTTATAAATATTTGTCATCATTTCCTGTTGCACCTGTTGTTCAGGTATGCTCATCCTCAGTGGCACCTGTTAGCCACAAACAGCACAGCTAATGTTAGCGATCTACAGACTGAAGGATGTGTGGATGGATGGACCTTCAACCAATCAGAGTTTTTTACCACCACTGTGTCTGAGGTAATTCCAACAATATCATGTTACTGATATGAACATGACAGCTCAAATATAAACAAGAAGACCAGTCCAGGTGCTGCAGCAGGTGGACATTTAACAGACTGGTGAATAATAGTGAAGGTAGGTGTGACGTTAGCAAACATAGAAGGATCTGCTGAATGTTAATGACAGCTGTGATTCTTAATGAGATGGTGATGTCATAAATAACATAACTTTTATTTGTTTCTATTTTTCTTCCCCCACCTCCTCGCTGTTTTACCTGCATTTCTGTTTTCCTGTCGTCTCTTTTCTGTCTGCTGCCACTTGTTTCTGTTCCTTCCTGTCTGTCCACACACCTGTCTGTCCACACACCTGTCTATGTCCACACACCTGTCTATGTCCACACACCTGTCTGTCCACACACCTGTGCATGTCCACACACCTGTCTGTCCACACACCTGTGCATGTCCACACACCTGTCTGTCCACACACCTGTCTGTCCACACACCTGTGCATGTCCCTGCACCTGTATCTCTCAGTGGAGCCTGGTGTGCACTCGACGTCCTCTCAAACAGATGATTCAGACTGTTTATATGGGTGGAGTTTTAACAGGTGCTATAATCTATGGCAGCCTGTCGGACAGGTGAGAATTTCTGATCTACATGTTCCTCTGTGCAGTTTTTCCAGGTGAACAGCAAACTAAATTATTATCACTTTATCTTTTAGATTTGGAAGGAAGTCTGTCCTTATTTGGTCATACCTGCAACTAGGTGTGCTTGGCTGTAGCTCCGCCCTCTCCCCTTCATACTTGGCCTACTGTGTTTTTAGATTTCTGAGTGGGATGGCAGTGTCTGGGATCATTCTTAATGGATTCTCGCTGAGTACCTGTCCTACAGTTATTTATCTGTTACTTTGTTTCCTCTACCTGTACCTGTACGTTGTTTACTGTCTACCTGTTTGTCCTCAGAGGTGGAGTGGATCCCAACCAAATCAAGGACACTAGTGGGAACGCTCACTTCCTTCTTCTTCACCTTTGGTCAGATGATATTGGCAGGACTTGCCTATTGGCTGAGAGACTGGCGAAAGCTGCAGTTGTTTGTCTGTGCTCCCCACTTCCTGTTCTTCGCTTACAGCTGGTCAGTGCAGCCCAAATGACTGCCTCTGGTTGGGCAGGTGGTTCTGTGTTCACCATTAGTTCTATTGGATTACTTGTATTGTTTCTAAATTGTGGTCTTTTAGTCATTGTCAAGATCATTGCTATGCTTTGCCTGAAACCTTGAAATTAAATTTAAACCAGTTTAACACTATTGTTTCCTTGAATGTAAACTGTTCTTGATTTTATTTAATGATATGTGCTGATTACCTCCTGGCCAGGTTAAATAAAGGAGATTGATTGAGGTGGTCTTTTTTCTTTAATTGGACAGGTGGTATGCAGAGTCAGCTCGTTGGTTGGTGCTGAACCGTCGGTCAGAAGATGCCCTGAAAAGTCTTTACAGAGTTGCCAGAATCAATGGTAAACCAGAGATTAAGGGCAAGCTTACCATCGAGGTAAGGTATCTCCCTGTGTGTTGTATGGTCAATGTTTGTTGTTTGGTTTAGAGGCCAGATTAACACCATATGACTGCAGGTACTCCACTCTCACATGAGCAAGGAGATTGAGTCGAGTCATTCAACGTTTACCGCATTTGACCTTCTGAAGACCAGAAGGATACGACGGATCTCCATCTGTCTGGTTGCTGTCTGGTCAGAAATGTTTTTTTTTTTTGCCTGTTTTCTGCTTACCTTGTTTTTATTTTCTTTAATGATTTGTACTTTGTAACATGTTCAAGTGTACATTTCTGTCTACGTTAAATTAAAGTCTGTTGTAGTTTGACCTGTGCTGGTGTTCACTGTCTGCAGGTTTGCTACCAGTTTTGCATACTATGGTCTGGCGATGGACCTTCAGAAGTTTGGGGTGAGTTCCTTTCAAGCCTTTACTTTTGCATCTGTCACTTGAGGTAAGATGTTAGCTGCAGCACATTTAAACCTTTCCGTTGTTCTCTTGGTTGATTTGTTCTACATTCTCCTCCCATTGGCTGTTTCAGGTGAGTATTTACCTGATGCAGATCATCTTTGGAGCCGTTGATGTTCCTGCCAAATTCTTTGCTCTGGCCATGCTCACTTACATGGGGAGGCGGGTGTCTCAGGTGTCCTGTCTTTTCCTGTCAGCTGTTATCATCTTTGCCAACATCTTTGTCCCTACAGGTGCAGATTCTGGTCCTGGTCTTGGTACTGATATACATTTTTGTCTCGATTTTAGTTTTGTGTAATTAAGGCTTGTGATTCTAAACTCTTGTTGTGATCTGGTCCTARTCCTAATTGTTGTTCTGGTGAGTTTGTACTTATGACTCTGGTCCTAAACACTTGTCCTGGTCCTGATCTACTTTGGTTTCTGCTCTGACCCCTGCAGATATGCAGACACTCAGAACCACACTGGCCTGTCTGGGTAAAGCTTTCACTTCGGCCTCCTTTACCACTGTTTACCTGTTCACCGGAGAGCTGTACCCCACAGTCATCAGGTAGACCACCTGATCTGGAACCAGATCCTCTGCTGGTCACATAACACACTGATCACATGATGTGTGTGCCGTACATTCAGGCAGACAGGAATGGGCTTTGTCTCCACAATGGCGAGAGTTGGCAGCATGGCAGCTCCTGCAGTCCTGATCCTGGATGAGGTGATGTCCCTTATACAAGTCTTAGTCTTGTTTCCATAAAGACTCCATGGTGAAGTAATAAGAGGCAGAAAGAGTCCATCAGACAATCTTCATTTATAAACACCATCACATCATTGTCAACAGATAAAGTTGTTACTGACTGGTTTTCTCAGGTCCTCCCTGTGCTGCCCAGTATAGTTTATGGTGGAGCTGCAGTGCTGGCCAGTGGTTTTGCCTGTTTCCTTCCAGAGACCCTCAACAAGCCGTTGCCTGACACCATTGAGGATGTGGAGGAAAAACGGTAAACTAACCTGTGTTGGTGTTGTCACAGTGTCACCAACACTGGGAAACAAATAAAAACTGGTGAGGGTTATGATACTGTTTTTTGTTATTCAATATTGGGAGTTGGACCAGGTCTATAAGATCTGCTGTAGTCCACTTAACCCTCCTCAAAACCAGCTTGTAGACATCAGGGCTGGAGACTTTCAACAGCTGCTAACATGATGGGTATATGACTATAATCACTAATAACTGTGTGTGTGTGTGTGTGTGTGTGTGTGTGTGTGTGTGTGTGTGTGTGTGTGTGTGTGTGTGTGTGTTTAGGTCCAGAAGAAACTCCTTCAAAAAGCAGGAGGGCATGTCCTTGAAAGAATTGGTGGTCTCTGATGATCCAGTACCCACTGGGGGTATGGTCATGACAGAAGGTCTGGCTTTAAAAGAAACAAAGCATAGAAAATGGTGTGGCCTCAATGCTCTTTAACCAATCAGAACATGCCACATCACAGATTCAGGATCGGCAAACTGGACCTGGACAAATACAACTGGAACTGGACTACAAAGCAAATAGACTAGAGTTTAAAATTGAACCATATTTAAATACAGGTGACTGATTGTAGATCATTAAATGTTTTAAATAAAGCTTCGGATGATGTAAAAAAATCTACAACTGAAAACAGGTCTGAATGTGACTGRCAATCTATATGTGAAGTGATTATTGTATGAGTAACCACTAATGACATCAATCAATAAACAAATGGTGAACTGTAAATGGTCTGACTTTATTAACTCAACAGTTTTTAACCCTGGGTTTTGACTGTCAGGTACAACGCATGAGAATGATTACCTGTCAGACAAAGCAAGGGGAAAAATTCAGGGAGATATAGAATACAATAAACCTTTATAGTCATTGTTCAAAAGCACAATTACAGTTCAGCATATATATATATATATATATATATATATATGCTGCCAGAGGGCCCCACCTCATCAGGGGGTCTGGACTCACTCTCAGAGACAGGCTGAGAAGCCCAGTTCTCCAGGAGAGACTCAGAGTCTCAGAGTTGTTGCTGCTCCTTCACATCCAGAGGAGACAGTTSAGGTGGTTCATCTGGTAAAGATGCCTCCTGGATGTCTCTCTATGTGCTCCAGGCATGTCCCACTGGGACAAGACCCATAAAAAAACCCAGGACATGCTGGAGAGACTATGTCTCTGCTGGCCTGGGAACACCTTGGAGTCCTCCCAGAACAGGTGGCTGGAGAAGTAGAGGTCTGGGCTTCCCTGTTCAAGATGCCCCCGAGACCCATCTGGAATAAACAGAAGATGATGGATGTTTGATGGATGGATGTTTGATGGATGTTTGATGGATGTTTGATGGATGGATGTTTGATGGATGTTTGATGGATGGATGTTTGATGGATGTTTGATGGATGGATGGATGAATGATGGATGATGGATAGATGGATGTTTGATGGATGATGGATGTTTGATGGATGATGGATGTTTGATGGATGATGGATGTTTGATGGATGTTTGATGGATGATGGATGTTTGATGGATGATGGATGTTTGATGGATGGATGGATGTTTGATGGATGGATGTTTGATGGATGTTTGATGGATGGATGTTTGATGGATGTTTGATGGATGGATGTTTGATGGATGTTTGATGTATGGATGGATGAATGATGGATGATGGATAGATGGATGTTTGATGGATGATGGATGTTTGATGGATGATGGATGTTTGATGGATGATGGATGTTTGATG